GACCTGAAGCATGTAATGGAAATGTAAGCCTGACCTGAAGCATGTAATGGAAATGTAAGCCTGACCTGAAGCATGTAATGGAAATGTAAGCCAGCCTTGAAGCATGTAATGGAAATGTAGGCCTGACCTGAAGCATATAATAGCGATTTCAGCGTTTAGTAGGACGTAGGCCTGTCGCCGATTCTTAACATCGCAGAACATCCACAGCATTTTGCAGTCTCGAACTCGCAACTCACTGCTACAATTCTGCTGTGCTTAACCGCCCGGCCTCCTCGCCGATTCTGACCAGAAACTGGCGCACAGAGCTGGGATCGAACCCGCACCTTTCTGCTCCAATCTTGGTATACTCTGAAATGTAAGCTCTGGGCCACCCTGCCTAATGAAAATGTTGGCCTGATATGAAGCATATAATGGAAATGTAAGCCTGACCTGAAGCATGTAATCAAAGAGGCGACGCCCATAGCCGCGACGCTGGCGACTCTCATGCACGTAGAAGTCGAGCACGCAGAGCGGAGCGACCTCCTTGGTCTGGCGCTCAGGGTCGACAAGGAACAGCTTCTTCCTGCCGATCTTCAACATGCCTACCACCACAGCTGCGCGGCTGCCATTCAATACACATTTGCAGCGATTACAATTTGTTCAATACTATTATTTATTCAAATTTTATATAAATATAATGAGGGAATTGATTGTGCATAATACAAATGAATGTAATTGCAGATTCTTTATTATATCAGAGACAAATTTTTCAATCTCTTGATCACCTAGCTAGGGTCACACGTCCACAGACGGTCAAGATAGAGTGTCTCGGGTAAAACCACATGAATGCGGTAAATATTAGAAATTAATATACCTATGTTGTCAATCCTGAAGCCAAGTAAATAAGACAATCTGTTATTTAACTACATCTTCGCTTCCATTGATTGGAATAGTCAGAAAGTTGAAGTACACGACGTTCTGGAATGGCAGGTGAATTCAGGACAAGGGTAAAAGGAATCAATATCGAGAGAGCGAAAAAAAAAAACAGTAAATGAATCAATAGAAAAATAAACATTTTAAAAGAGGACAACGTTATTGAAACAGCGAGTAAATAAATGATAGGAACGTTACCTGGTAGGGTCATCCTCCTTCATGAGGTAGAGAATGTGATCAGAATTTTGAATCTTTTCCGCTGTGGTAATGACGTTACTCAGGCCCTGGGCAAAGGACGATGATTACTCAAAAGACACCGAGATGATTGATTAATTAATATCTTACTTGTTATTAGGTTATCAATGATCAACACGTTAATTCCATTATTCCGTACAACTACAAAGAATCCTACTGTGTAAACAGCGAAATTGCAATTTACAACAATTTGTTGAATCCTATATGATATTATATTCAAGAGCAAGGGAATTTGTGAATAGAAGGCAACTATACGGAATAGTAACGCGAATACTGAAGATATAGACTTCGTATATTCATATCAAGGAACAAACAAAGAGACGCTCACGTGCATGAGTCACCGCCTGTACGCATAGCTTTCGCGTAAGTTACGCAGCGTTACGCTCCAGATGCGCAGCTCGCAGGCATGCATTTAGAAGCGTACGGAATACGCTACGCTTTCCATGCAGCCTTTTGTTCCTGTCGTATCGAAGACTGCAAAGTCCTTCGAAGTCTATACAGATAGCGAAATAATGTCTCAAACAAAAGCAAGTGGCTCTTACTAAATTCAAGAACAAAATTGTGAACAATAATCGAACGTACATTTAGTGATAACAATAACGTAAATATAAATTTTTACAATTTTAATATCGGCAGCAAAAATAACAAACCAAAAACGTGATCATAAATGACAAGATAGGAGTTACTAAAGTCTGTTGCCGTGCGCTGCATAGCGAAACTCGGTCCACTGGTTCTCACGCGAGAGAAAACGCAGTTATTAATGCAGGTTTTCATGCGTACACTGAAAAAGCCCTTAATTATAACGGTCTCTTTGCTATGCTGATATCCTAGGAATTTTTCCACCTAGCGTCGTTTTAATGAGTCTACAATTGTGGCTGAAGTAAGAATTTCCTGATTGATCATTAAAGCAATGACCTCGGCTTGATCAGAGCTTTCCTGGCGCCATACTTGGCTTGAGCCGACGATGCTTTAAATTTATGAGCAAAAAAACACATGCCAATGCATTTGAGATATTTTTAAAATGTAGAATGTTGATGCGTTCTAAAAAGGAAATGGTTATCAATAGTATTCCATTTCGTATAAAGTAATTAGTTTTATTAACGTCTTCAAAGTTGATTTGAAAATAAAATCTAAATGTACCCTAAATGACAGGCATCGAATCGCATATTGCAGGCATGACCCAGGAAGAATAGTTTATATTATTAACTATATATATGTATATTTCATACGCCCTTCGCAAAATCAAGATAGACATAAAAAATAAAAGCCTCTAGTAAAAAAAACCCACTGGACCTCTACATCGTTTGCACATCGCAGGTCTGCACCGTGCAGGTTTCCTGTGCTACGAAATGCGACTTCTAAACCTCGAGATAAGAATTTTTCTAATGGGACTTTGATACAGAGGAAATGAAGCGCAGAGAGCGAGAGTACAACAATGGGCTCCCTGCGAGGGGAAAGTTTTGAATGCGGTATTTGATAGGGAAAAAATCGAGAGAAATTGGTAGACGTGAACGTCAATGTGAGATGTGGTAGATGAAAAGTATATATATATATATTTTTTTTGCGTGTAATTGCAGATTAGAGGTAAGGAAATTTTTAAACAGTTTGTGCTTCGAACGTAGGCGTGTGTTCAATGATGAATCAGACGCTGATTCACGTAAGGAAACGCACCCTAAGACACTGTGACGTCATGCGTGTGGGCATTGAACTTGTTAGCTACCCAACACAGTGAATTAACATCGTAATTGTATTCAATTCAGGTATCTCAATATACGTAAAGTGTTGACATTCAGCTGGCACAAATCAATCGTTAACTAGCCAGAACACTAAAAAAATATCCATTCACACACTTGTGCGAATCTACTCCCTTCCAAACCATTCACATCGCATTGGAGCATTGAAGACACTTTCATCGAAAATTAAGAAATTGTACTCCAACGGAAATGAGAAATTGTCGAAAAAGATTACCAACATATGATAATTTCTGGGAAATGAATAAAAATACCACAATCAATTTCTGACTTTCTTGATGTCAATATTCATACCGCAAAGCACGACGGATTATGTTTACTATATTGATCTGAACAATCATGTCCAAAACAGTGTGAGCAAAGTTCGAGTTTAAATGTGATGATAGTAAAAAATTGTATTTTAATCCTTACAAAATGCGTTATCCGTTTCATGGCTTGGTCCACAGGACATGAGATTAGTTCTACCAACTCTCATGAGGATGTTAAACACGCACCTTTCAATTGTTCGGGAAATTTCCTCATGCAGCTAGGCCCGAATCATCTGGTTATTTAAGATGCGTCTCACGTGCATATCAGAAGCCACACACAGGGAGGCGGTTCAGTACCGAGCAACGTGGCCATAATGACAAATACATCAGAAACCCATGAAATTGCTATGACTGTATAGCAACAAGGTTAAAATTATTAGCTTGTAACTTTCTAGCAAATAAAAGCCATACTGGTAAAGTGGTAATTCTTCAAGTGCATTGGGCGGAAATTATTCGTGTTCTCATGCATGGCATCTCACGCGCACATGCAAGGCCAGATTGAAGATAAGAACGTGTGGCGAAGAAATGCGTTCAACGTGACTAGTTTCCGTGTGGTATTTAAACTTTCGGAGTTTGGATGTGGATCATGGAACGACGTCAACGACCACTTAATTTCCATCGACATATAACCTCAGGAACATTGCAGGTGCACTCTACAATTATTGACCTTATTTATACTATAAAATCAAGGAATAATCGCAAAATTGTTCTGGGAGCTGCGGCCCGAAAATCATCGATTGCGACGCCAGGCAGTGCGTGCGTGAGGAGATCCGCATCTGCTGCATCGCCGCAGTGGCGCTTCTGCTGCACATCTCGTCTTCGTTTTCAACCATAAAAATTTATCGTTCAGCGCTACGAAACTTGCTTCTGAAACAACGAGAATGCGGTTACCAGAAGTTTCTATTGAGAATGTGAAGACTTTTTTTTTAAAGGCCTCCCACACTCACCATTCCAACAAAAAAAAGGAATTGATTTATATATGCCTGAAGCGGGCGCAAACCACCGTGAACAAGTAGCTGAAGTGACACGTAAAAGTACACAGGAGTTAGAGAAACCTGCGAGATTAATTCAGTCAACGCACACGCAAGCTCGGTTGCATATAAGTTTAGCCACAGAGCAAAGATATTCATACGCTGCACTGACGGCTCGAAGATACAGCCTACGTGGAAAACAAATCACTCTAGTTTTGTTTCCTTCACATTTTTGTTCCCCTTCACTCAATTTTTTTTACAATTAGTAGGTGCTTTCGTGGATGTTTTACAATGTTCATACCTAATTGCATGTAATAATCTTCATATTTTGGAAACTAAATTATATTTCACATGGAATATAGAGTTGTAAGCGTGTGAATTGTGGCAAATTTCTGACATACGTCCGAAAGCAGCGGCAAATCAATGCTGTTAGAACGCTTACAATGAGAAGTCCTTCATGAGAATATCGTTTACATAATATCGCGTGACAAATGTACAGTTAAGGAGCAGCTATACTTGGAGCAGCTCACTCTTATCCCCACGCGGAATAATCGATAGGAGGGCGGCGCCGCTACAGATAAGCAAGGGCTCGACGCTCCCTTGTCCACAGGGGGTAACACGCGCTCGCCACGTATGTACCGTAAAGCTGCCGGCGTCCCTTGCTTCCCGGCATGGAACTGGCCACGTGGATCGTAATCCACCAGGCATCTGACGTTTAAATAATATTGCTTGGACATCGTTTCAATGAAATCAACTAGTAATTAACGTTGTTTCAACGACATTAACCAACAATCAACGTTGTTTCAACGACATTAACCAACAATCAACGTTGTTTCAACGTTGATTGCAATCGTAGAGGGAAAGAGTGACCAGTTTGTCAAAAATAGAGACAACAGCTTTCACACACATTATTTGCGCTGAGAACACAAGAGTGAATGGTTCGACAGCTTTCACGTACACTTTTTTCAACGCACCAGAAATAAAATGCCGTAAACGACTCGTGGGAAAGTCTTGGATAAGTAATTATACGGTAAGTCAGATGGAAGTTCAAAAGAATTTATTATTACAAACTTTTTGGGAAATTAAAGCCTTATATATTTACTGAAATCTACGGAATACGTCTAGCAGTCGTTCTTTTAAAAATGAACAAAGGGCATTTCAAATAAGATAGTACCATGACACCCTCATTGAAAGAAAACTGTACCTGACACAGCACTTTAAAAACAGATAATTAATCAGTGTTTATAGTGGATTTCCACACAAAAATTCGGCACAAAAAAAAATAAAGTACAGATGTGCGAAACGTAAGGTAACTCACACAAAACAGAGAAGCAAAAATAAAGTAAAGATGTGCTTAAAATAACATAACGCAAAACACGCAACACGGAAGGAGGTACGCCGTGTCGTAGGCGTAGGAGTCGCGTAACGGCTAAGGAAGATACCGCTGCAGCTGTGAACCACTCTGGCCATGCGTAGGCAGATGATGACACTTCATGGCCGATATATACAAGTCGATACACTGGCAAAATTGTCTCGAAGCTAAAACATAAGGAACAGAAAGCGTATTATCTGAATTATTGAAGAAAGCTTAAAACCAATTCAGAGATAAGTTTTCCTTTAGTGACTTTGCGAGAAAAAAAAATGGGAATCAAAAATGATGTTCAGAAGAAAAGCTCTTCACAAACAGGAGTGAGAACGCAGAGTAAATCAGTTTTGTTTTGTATAAGCGCTGCTCGTGTGGGATAAAGACTTAACATAAGACACTCAGTTGAAAAACGAAAGACTGCAAAGTCGAGAGCATACAGCAGCGATGCAACGCCACTTCATGGTAATTTGTGGCGGTTAAGAACAGCTCCTGCAGCAATTGGCGGAGAATGCGGCTTGGATTGGTATTGGAATCAACCAATAATGGCACTAGTAAGAATTAAATTTGAAAATGCTCGAGCATTTGTCTGGAGTAGATAGCCGAAGGATGATTTTCGCTAATAAACTGCGAGCTATTCATTCAAAAGGACGAGGTTTCGTAAAGTGACACCATATAATGAAACTGAATAATGAACCTGGAACGTTTTAGAGTGCAAAAAACGCGAAATTTGATTAATGTGATGATTATACGATAACGATATTATGCACGATCTTGTAATCAGCTAAAAAATTAGCATGCAAGGTAATTACATGCGTTAACTTTTTATGAACTTCCTTATTAAGTCCGGTACCACCCAACTGAAACGTTTCGTCATTGGAACGTTGTTCAAAATGTTCGAAGACAATGACAAATGTTTTATACTTGCAACAAATAGTGTGGAAAGACTCAGGAGTCGCGCGTTAAGCCAACGAAAGTGAAGGTGAAGTCGACTGAGCATGAGCCTAGTGTGAGTCCGTGCGCTCGCGTCGGACTCGCTTCGGAACGCCGTTCACTCTTGTGGTCATTTATTTTCAAAACAAAACGTTACGGTCTCATGAGAATTAAATATAAAATCACGCCTCTTTCTACAGGAGCGATTATAACAAATTCAAGTTTTGCATACATAGCTACGGGTAGATGCAAAGCAATCGTTCGTGAAATCTCTTTGATGTAAATTAAGAGTGCATGAGGAGCAGAGCATTTCGTGAAGGGATAGTTGCGAAAATACCCACAGACGTTCACCTAAAATGTAAGCATTCCAAGACAGATACATATTGAAAATATAGTACATCAAGCTATCGAAAATGACGCACTTCTGATCTCACATGGACGTATTTCTTCACAAATAAAAAATCAAAAGTAATATACGTATATTAGTATAAGCAGATTATAATTGTATTAGCATATAAAAATCTTGTCCTTTTAATAACATTTCTTCGATGACTAAGTTCTGACCTCGACGTAAAAGAATATTAACTTGAAACTTGAACCTAGAATGAAACGATACTTGCAAGTTCCAAAAAATTACCGTGATTAATGTTTAGAAATTTAAATACGTGAACTCGATTTATTCTGCTCACGCTGTTGAGAACGTGTAGTTAGTTCAAATCCACATGATCAACATCGTGAAAACGAAAAACTTAGACCTGCTCGCACACGCCTAAAAAGAAAGCTAGTGAGAGGAGACTTGATCACAGAAGAATTCCACGACGGCTGAGCGGTCGGTAAGGTGTTTTTTTTACACTATTTCTTAGCATGCCTAGGAACCTAACAGCGATACCGCATTAGGTAAAAGCATCCACCCAGTCGTTAGCACGAGTGTTAGTCCCTGCAACAATCAAGTTTAAAGCACAGAATCGTCACATGCAGACTCGTATTAGTTCCAATTGAGAACACGAGTCAGTAAAATTTGGTAATGAATAAATTATTTGAAAAGAATGTCGGCAATTTAAGAGCTGAGTTAGATTGAAGATAGATAGCAAATCTAAAATTAAATCACTCGAGTGGAAAAGAAATAGGTAGGACTTTAGCAAACTAACGATTTCAACAAACAGGTTCAGGTTAGGTACGCTTTGGTTTAGTCGTACAGTCACTACCGCGTTTAGTCGTTACGAATGTTTATTTGCATATCGTTTCAACACCAATGACTTACTAAATAGATAAACCATCTTGTATAACTCGACTCAAATTACACAAAGCTGTTTAACCATTATGCTGCGTAACGTGACATTTCCTGTTCAAGACAAATTGAAGCCTATGCTGAACTGCCTGAGCTCTGAAGTGAGCCCCTGAACAAAACTTCCGATGTCTTGACGTTTTCATGCCCAGAACTTTACTGTCTTAGCAGATACATTTTTAATTTGAGGCAATGATTTGAGAGTTTTCAGTACTAGCTACGATGACTTCACGTTGCGAACAATGGAAAGGTTATATCTGCAAAAGCTAAATTATATAATGTCTCAGGAAGCTTTGATTATTAATTATTATACTTGTTACGAGTCCACGACTACGTGCTTGAAGTTTCACATAACTTCGAAAGAAAGCGATATCGAATTAGAAAAAAAATTAGCCACATATCTGTTCGGCGTACAAAACCATTTAGTTTAAAGATATAGGTAGATCACAAGAATCTTGACCAAAAAATATAAATCGATTCAACTTTGAAGTGCTTATCCGCCCTGCGATTTGCTCCACCCACAACTTTGGCAACAATAGATTTTGGGATTCAGAATGGCCTGTTGCCGTAAAATACCACTACTTCGGCATGCTAGATTAGCAGATCCGCAGCTCGATCAAAATGTTCTTTCCGACATCAAATACAAAAAAAAAAAATTAGAGACGCATCTGCTGATGCCTGATGCTGGCATTGAGTGACTCATGCCAAGCTGAGCCGCACCCCCACTTGTCGCAAACAGAATCCTTCCTGCTTCCCTCAGCCAGACTCACCGAAAACGTGTTTTCGAATTCCATCCTTTGATGATGAGAGAGTTATCTACTTTCATTATGTCCTCCAGTAGGATACTCCTTACATCAAATCTGAACTCCATTTTGACTTTCTAAACGAACTCCTAATAGGATTTGAAGTTTTTTGGATAGGGTGTGTTAGCTTGTCAGAAATTAAACGAGGACTTGCTTTATGTGCTTCCACATGCATCCACTGCACCAACACGACTGGCACTAGCAGTAGCAGACGAATCGTACTGACCCACTCACGTTCGCGGCTCAACACGCACTGATCAATGTTAACGTAGAAAATAATAAACTAAGGGAAACTATTCCAAAATTAATTTTCAAACTTTTGAAGGGGCCGACATAGATCCACTCTGCAACCGAATAATATTCTCTGGTAAATATTTTTAAGATTATTGATAAAACAAAAATATTAATTTGGCGGAATTTAACCTCATTCATCACGCAAAAAAATGAACATATTTTTGATGGTCCGAATTTAAAATCATTACCTATTTTTTTAAAAAACGAAGGATAATAAAAGCTTCACACCAGTCATATGGTAGTATTGAACCAACCAAAACGAGAAAATTTCAACTATTAACTGTACAAAAGGAGCATCAAATACTGCATTTTTCGATGAATGTGCCATATCTGCCGTCCAATTACTCGAGATTTAGAATCGAGATCAAAGGGAAAACTTTGCAACTTCATTCAAACAAATTCAACAAAATTATAGAAAAAGAATAATGAGATCTTCATTAAAATTTCAGAACGGGATTTTCACTAAGGAAAATACTTATGTGGCTGATCAATCGACACCTAAATTGGTCGTCACCCACAACTAGGCCTCGTGACAAAACTATGATCTGTTTTCACCAGGAAGGGGCGCCAAATCTCTGGACGATTTTATCCTGATCTGTAAGCTCGAGCTGTACTTTCTTCCGCATGTAGAAGATGGGACAATCGCGACTGCGGAGACAGACAAAGCGTTGATACACAGTAATGTTTACGGCTAATGACGATCTTGTACAGCATAGTTAGATGCACTTAAATCAACTCGAGTTTATTCCAATTAATGTTCAAACACAAAACCTTTATGAGGAAAGCTGAACCAATAATTTATTTTCCTAGTCGTTGATTATATCTGATAATATCCGAGTGTATGTCACGCTTATTCTAATAGATTATTCTTTATCAACATTTTTACCTCGTACATATGACCTCCTCGTGCAGTGAGCCTTGGCACCGCTGGCACTGCGTCCACAGACGATTGAATTTACTCTCAAGAGATGCGAGGACAGATATTTGCTGCATGTACACGGCATCTTCCTTGCTCTGCAATGATCAACAGTATTCATGGGCTCATGTTCATAAAGTAGGTAGCAATTTGCTACATAAAATGAGATCTATAAAGCGGAGAGAGCGATAATAATGATCAACTGTAGAGAGAATATCCAATATTGCTTAACAATCATCAAAAACGAGATGAAAATCTGTCATGGGGTAGCCACAATGCATAAAAATCTCTTGATATCAAACTGAAGGTTGTCATGATCTCGACGGCAATATCGTAATATAAATAAGCAAACAACGAGTCGAATAGTCAGTCATTCACTTTGCAATGACTGCAGAGCGCTACGCTGGCACTGGCCACGGGCACTTTACAGCCGATGCAAGCGTATTTCTTGGTGATGAATTTTGCCATGGCGCCCACTTTGCTGTGGGAGATGGTGCGCGTCCGCGTGTGATCTCCTCCTGGTAACACGTCAATTGAATTAGTTTGTAAACCATAAATTGTTCAATCTATTGTCTGTATCCATAGTAATAGTGACATGCATTGAGTATGCGTAAATCTTTTAATATTCAGCAAAACTTTCAACTATCAGTAGTGAAAGAAATTCAGCAATATGACAGATGAAATTTGCCACTAGCTTCAGAAATAATTTAGCAAATAAATTTTCTTTAAGCAAACTAATGTTTGCCAATTTGACGGTGACAAAATTTTCAGCACAAGAGTTTAAAAATGGCATTCCAGTTAAAACCTACGCATTTATACTCACGCAATAGCTTGGATTCAGCTTTATCTCCCAGGATTGGCTCGAATATCCTGAGCAATGGCTTGCTTAACTGATTAGTGAGGTAGTATTCGTAGTCGATGGGAAGACTGTTCTCCAACACGTATATGGGATCCTGACAGAATGAAGGCATAGTTTTATCTCAAAAATGCACAGGTCTAGTTTAAAAATACGACAAGAAGAGCCAATACATGACTGGAATGATTAGGACGTTACTTCAATAGATGTGTTGGATTTCATAGTCTACAATCTCTACATCAATTATTAAAATTCTACACTAATCAATGATAAAAGAAAGATTCACTTGAAATCAAATGAAGATTTCAGTTTTATTTCTAGGGTTGAAGTTAGCCAAAAAGCAGGTGTAGCAGACCTCTGCTTTCTCGTATGCTGGAGTGTTCTTGGCGGCCGCAATGATGACGTAGGGCACGCGGTCGCCCAGTTTGGGGGCGTTGCCAGCATCGCGCTTCTTCATTTTGCTGGCGAGCTCAACGTGTGCCTGCTTAGCAGCGTAGTCTTTCTCCGTCTTCGTCAGCTCTTTCGTTATTACGAGTTGTGAAATGTCGATGCGGTTACACAAAAGGTCCGCGATTGTTTGCTTTGCAAACTCCACGGCGCCGTTAGGATTCCTAACGATAAAAAAAGGTTTACAGTCCATAAAGATAAAGATCTATAAAATAGAGTTTAAATTAAAGACAAATCGAGAAGTTTTACGCCATCTCCTGAGCTTGCATTTATTCAAGACGTAGTTGAACAGCTTGACTCTTCACAATTTGAATAAACAACAAATTCTTAGTAGTGGAAACTAAACTAGTCTGAAATTAAATTATTCATGATAACACACCTGTCGATGAGAATTTTTTGTAGGCAGTTATTGATAAGATTAGCGACGATGGGAGCGTTGTCCCTTCTGACCGTCTCAATGCCCTTGCAGTCCATCTTGTCGTGCACATCAGGCTTCGTGAAGTAGAGGCCAGCATAACGCTTCTTATTGATCAAAAGGTAGGGGAAGTAAACCTGCAACATAAGCTTCGATAAAACTCCAAAATTACAGTGACTACTAGCAAGACTTTTAGGGAAAATAAGGGAAAACTGAAAACAAATGCATATTATGGGTAGGTTTGGACATGAATACACTCTCGATCCTCAGAAGCTTACAGAGCACATTTAGCACCATCAATTGGTCCATCGTGGCGAGAAAATGGATGAGAATACGAGTAAACAAAGGAATAAAACATGCATTCATGTCAATTCTGGAGATAATAACTATAATTTTAAATATACTTAAGTGATTGAACTGGTCAAACCTTTTCAAATTCAAGATTGATGGGGTTGACAAACTTTGCCGACACAAACCCAGCAGCTTCTCTGCCAAGTTTCATTGCCTCAGCCACGGTTGTAACTCCAAATTTGACCATAACGGAGTCAGTGTCTCCATAGATAACTTCAGCGTCGTGCTCATAGCCGTTCTCGGTTCTGAACTGTTTCTCCACTTCATCCTTCGTGAAGGCAATCATCGTACGACCGAAAGACGTGACGCTCTGAGAGATCTCCAAGCAAGGCAGCTTGCCGACTTGTGCGCCAGTGAAGCCGTACACTGAGTTTGCTGAGATTTTCAGTGCAAGTTGACGGCCATCTAACACCTGAGGGAATCATCAAATTTCTAGATGAAAAGACACAAGACTTCAATTTTGAGCATGAACTCCAAGAATACTATCAACCTACATAATTACATTTCAAGTGAAGTATAAAGAGCATATATAATCATATGTACTCAACACTTGTCAACTAGTTTTCCTCCGACTTTAAACTTTAGTCACTGAATAATGAGCAAATTTCAAGCTCACATATTCAACAACCGTCAAACAATAGTTCATGCAAAAAATGTTCTACCTCTAAGAATCGTGACATGTGTTCTGTATGTTACCTTCTTTCTAAGAGGGTCTGTCTCATTCTTAAGATCAGATTTAGCCTTCTTACGAGCTGCGAGAAGATGCTCTAAGATCTCAGGTAGTAAGCCCTTCCGTTTGTGGGACTTGACAAAATAATTCCCCGACGGTGTCTTGATGTAATCTTGCATTGAACTTGCTACAATGAAAGTCACTTTTACCCAAGAGTCTCGGCGTGCTTTGGAGAGGTAATTAATGTAGTGTAGCAGAGGTTGTGAGCCATCATGATGGAGGGATACAGTGAAGAGAAATCCAGCGTGGCAATGGGCGTATCATAATAGCCACGTCGTGGCTCAATCACGGTGGCGCCCTCGAACTCGTCGTCACCTACACCATGGTGCACGGGTATCACCAGGTTCTGTTCTGCAGCCTGTAGTGCAAACAACGCAATACGCAAGTATGAACATTTTTCCTCATTGCAATTGGAAGAATTTGTGAAGGATGTGATATGAATACTTCAACCGCTACTAGACGTAATAGTTCAGGGAAGTCTACAAAATGTGAAGAAATAGTTTTGAGCAACATTTACACGGCGACTTATAGAAGTAAAAAATGAAATTTGCATCTGTACGAGAGGGATCTTATAAGAATAAAATCAAATTGTCAATTATAAATGTCAAACCATCAATTGTTATTATATTTTTAATTTTCGGCAACAGTTATTATTGAATATTACCTCAGAGAGGGGAGAGAGAAAACATACATAACAACAGTGACGCAAGTAAGTAACATTCTGAGTTTCCCGCACCTTCCTGAGAAGCTGCGACATGACTTTAATTTGCTGTCCTCTGGTGAGGAGGTACGAGAGCGGCACGCCCGTCACCCTCGCCATCTCCATGTAGTTGATGACGCACATGAGCTTGTCTATGAGGCGCAGCGGCAGGTAAGCGTCCTTAAGGCAGTATACCGCCAATCTTTTGTACAGAACATTCAAGTGAAATTTTAATTGTTCAGTGCCATACAAACACGTCTTTCGAGCTCTGTTAACAAGATTCCAGGAAGAAAATATTTCAGACAATATAGGAAATGTAACTGATTAGTGATGATGTAAAATGTAAAGAATAAAAGTTTCAGTTTCACGACAACAATTTTAAAAGTTAAGATCTTGTACAAGAATATATTTATGGCCATCCAAACATTGCGTAATAATTAGCCACAATTGAATCGAGGAAGAGCAAAAATCTTCTATCATCACCAAGAGAAAGCAAACCATATCCATGCGAGGAGCAATAACCACAAGCCTAGAGAGTTCATAACCTTCTTCTGGTTTGATCGTTGCCATTCTGGAGGTCGGTGATGATGGAGTGATGCACGTCCTCCTTCTGCTCCTGTAGGAAGTGGTAGGACACGGCGTTCAGAGTGTAGGATCGTAGCTTGTATTCCCTCAGCAGCACAAGGATCACGTCGAACTGAGTGCGTCCTTCGATATTGACAGATTTATTTTCTCGCTTGCCCATTTGCTTGCTCTGCAACATGGTCGTCTTTACCACTGATCTGTAGAAATGAAATTTCATCGGTGACTTGTTCAGTACAACTAGTTGAAGTGGGAAAATTCCCAATCCAAGAAACAAATACGAACTTCTGTATGAGCAAGTGTTCATTGCAAATTTATTATTTCTCAGTGTATCGAAAGAAAAAATTACACCTCCAAGGAATAAATTTAATATTAAGAAAATAAGTAAATTAAGAGAATATCTCTAAAAATAAGCTCACTTCAAAGCAACCATGAGAGGTGTTGATCAGAAAACAATTCCATTGAACACCTTTGACTCAAGACATGAAATTATTTTATATATATACACCGTACAAATGCCGAATGAAATGGTAAGAACTTGATTTAGTCAAAGCAAATCTGAGAATTGAATGAGGCAAAGAGAGAATTCAGTCCAGTAAAAGAAGGAATTCGTTCCATTAAAAGAAGGTTAAACATAACACTTGAACTGATTTACACGAAAATGTAAACTTATTTATACTCACTGAATTGCTCTGACGCGGCCCAGATACGGGAATTTCGAGCACTTGAGGTGGCGTGCGCGGTCTATCAGGTATGGGAAATCGAAGTTGTTGATGTTGTAGCCTGTGATGATATCGGGGTCAACCTGCCGCACGAATGCTGCCCAAGCCTTAAAAAAAAGAAGCAACCATTCACTACTAACTACCATTAATAACAAGTAATAACTGTGATGAAAAGCCATTCAGTATCTCATACATTAAATAACGATTCAATCCCCGCACTTTTATACCACAAAAACTATGATGATATAGTCATGAACAAAAATACCCAAAGAAAGAGAAATCCTATAGGTCTCCTGATGAGCGTGAGCACGCATCACAATACCCCTTGCAGTCATTTCCAAACAATATTTGTACAATTAAAATAGATAGTTTGGTTTTGAAATGTACATGCTAACCTCAAGCATGGCCTTCTCGTCCTTGAAGGACAAGACCCGCGCCCCCACGATGGGAGCGCAGTCCCCCAAGGTGAAGATGGTGCGGATGAAGGGCTCGGAGTCTCCTTCCCGCTTCACGCAGTTGCCTATTTGTATCACAGGATCCATCTGGAACTCGGGGAAAATGCCTGCATGGACAATTCAGGTCACATATTACTGATTGAGTATCTACAGATGATGTCACAAAAAAAAAAAAAGAATTTCGATCACTGTATTTGATCACGATTGCTCAAACTGCCTGATTCAATGCACAACTAAGAAAAAATTGCGATAAGTTTCGTAAACATACCAAAATCATTCAGCTAAATCTTACAAACATGCATTAATATAAGTAAATAACGTAAATTGCTGTAATCAAACAAAGGATGCTCAATACAATCTTCCAAAAGGATGGTGCAAGTAAAGGTTAAGATTTCTTATTACTAATGCAAACTAATGCTCCACAAGTCACGTTAATTAGGGGGCGTTCCTGTGTTTGGAATTTATGGGAAAGTCTAAGATTGAGCGAATTTTTAAGGGCAAATCTTTGCTTTGACTACAATTCTCTTGTAGAACGAACCTTTCCTATTGGCACATTCAATGTCAAATGAGAGCGTCCTAAAGGGAGCCAGTCTCCCCCAATCTCCCTCAGGAGGGTGGGCGATGAACTTATCCCATGCGACGTCCACTTCCAACTGGCAGCTTGTGATCGTTTCTTTGTTAGAGCGCACCGTGTATTTGCCAGCAGGTAACTCCACCCAACAGCATCCCACAAGTGCCTTGTCTACCATGAACCTGAGACAGCACGAGCAACAAGTGAGAACCTTCAGTGCACACTGCTGGATGGTTTGCAAACTAGCAACATGAACATTGCAAAAAAGCAAAGAAGAACAGGGAGCGAGAGCTTTATAAGTAATGGACTATGAGAATGTATCAAAGAACAGATTTTAAGATTTAGAAAGAGCTAATTTATGGAGAAATTGCCAGCTGTTAGCTCTCAATTCTAAATTAAAAAATTAAACCACGAAAATTTGATGTGTGAATAGAACAGTAAAGCAATACCTGGATTAGAATTTTAATACATACCAGGTTCCAAGCCTGTATATAAAAATATATAAATTTATTCTACATACGATGCTAGACACTTGGATGATATTTAGATAAAGGCATTGCTCACCTAACCTCAAAGTCAACATTAGACTCGTATGCCTCGTATGGCGGAGTGCCGATATCTGCCACAACCACTTTGCCATCACCAAGCAATCTCTTGCAGGCAGCAATGAGTCGTGGAAGCGCCACGGTTATTTTCAGGAACGGCACTTTCTCGTTGTTGTGGAAATGATAGATGGACTCCTTGATGACCAGATCTACAGCCAGCACAGCGTCGGTAATCTGCTCCTTGTTGCTACGCATGTCGTCCAACAGCGCTCGGTCAAGAGCCGTCTAAGGACGCACATGTAGTTTTAACAAATATTTAAATAATGTAAAACACACAGTAAAATATTTCTATATTGTTTCCACTCAAGTACTTTAAATATAATGTAAAACCTCCAGAAAAAATTGCAAGTCTTACAAAACCATTAGACGAGGAGCATTAATTATGTAAACCAACTGGATTTGTTGAGTGTGATCAGGTATCTCAAGGCCTTCATCCTTTCCATAACCATTAAAGAATTAATTTTGAACCTTGGGAGAAGACTATTTAATTTATACACCTCATATAATAGTAATAAACACCTCATATAATCGTATACTATAAGATATGAAACCTTGAATGGTGCAAGATGCTGTTCCTTAAATATAGGTGGACATTTGACATAGAAGTAGGGACTGAAGCCATGCACATGGCAGCACACTGAAGACTATTTAATTTATACACCTCATATAATAGTAATAAACACCTCATAAAATCGTATACTACTGTAAGATATGAAACCTTGAATGGTGCAAGATGCTGTTCCTTAAATATAGGTGGACATTTGACATAGAAGTAAGGACTGAAGCCATGCACATGACAGCACACTGAGTTGCCGTTGTCTGTGACCCCAAACATACGCATGATGGGCACCCGACCAGCTTGTTGTCCAGGCATGTCCTTCCGAGCATTGCCTGTAAAAATATAAACAACTTCTTACAAAAAATTCAGAATAGGAATTTGTTCCACAAAATAAATTTTTTAGTGATGAATAAACAAAAATTTATTAACAATGTAACATTTTCCTTGAATATTAATTTAAATGCGTCCTTTTTTTCTCATTGTGAAAACCTAGGAACAAATCATGATAACAATTTGTATACTAAGGAAAATAAGATATTGAAGAAGACATACGATCAGGATCAAGCATTTATGTTCAGACTAGAGGATAAAGAAAAGGCATTATTCAATTCAAAGCTCAATTGTAACAACAAATATAGATTTACAATGCCAAGTATCATCACACTTGACTTTGATTAACATGTATGACTGAACCATTTGTAAATGGATTTAAATAATTGAAGCATGAAATCAATGTTAATACATTTATATCATGCAAGATTATTGGAATGTGTGCAAACAAATTTTTTAAAAGGTATTGGGAAAAATAATATGAAGGAAGATTGCGCTGTGCCAGAATGTTTCAGACACACAAATATCATTTCTTATAAGCAAAATGATATGGAAATAACTTCCATTTACTGCAGCAAGGATGAATTGCATTAGATGAATTATACTTTTATTGGGTATTTGAAAATTCATTTTTCAAGTTTTGCAATGAGTTGTTTGTTTGTCGATTTAAATTAAAAACTAAACCTAATGACTTAGGTCTATCAGAATAAAAAAAGTATATTATCCTAAAAAATTTTAGGATAAGACTTTTCTCATGTGGTCTCAACAGGCCTAGTGTGCTTCTGCCATTAAAATTTCTAAATATTTAAATTTTGGCAAAAAAAATTCCTCCAAGCTTAGGAGTTTAGGAAAAATATCAGCTTAGTAATTGATATAATTATTTTAAAATTATATTAAAATGTAAATATATCCAAAATAGCTGCCATTTCTTTGGTGTAATGCAAATTAGATCAATTTGGCATCTCAAGTTGCATTGTCTACTTCCAGCTGCTGAAATACACCTGCTGTTCTATCCCAAGCATAATGCAAACAATTTCTTGTTCTCACCAATGTAATGGTCTATTTCCAGCTGCTGAAACACTAAGGACTCTTTATCAGCAGAAACAGGAGGCATGTTGGGCCTCTTCCACTCTGGGTATCCAACAGCATCATCAACCTGTAAAATACTTTAGTTATATATTAAACAAGATATGGAAGTTTGACACAATGAAATGCATCAATACAGGGGAAAAAATAATGACAAGACATTATGTAGGTATTTTAAGACTGAAAAATCATTAAATTATACATTTTAATTGAAAAAAAATAATGAAACCTGATAAGAGTAAATGAGAGAAACTGGCACATAAATAATTAAATATAATAGCCCTACTAGGTCCTCTACTATTCTAGGATGCTCGTAATTATTGGACCTACTGGTGAAGAAGATTCACAATTGTATGCAGCAGCTTCCATTTGGTCCAGCTCATCATCATCTGGGTAGTCTTGGTCCATGTCATCAAAATCATTCATCTCATAATCCTCATCATCATTGGTGGACCTAAAAAGGGTCAAAAATTGTTATGTAACTTACACAATAGGAGATACAGGGTTTGGACAAAACAAGGGAAACTCCTGATATTTTGGTAAATTGGTATCATAATTTTTGAGCATGTCATAAACAAATAAAACATGGCATATTTTTATGTTCTATGGTTTATTATTGTGGCTAATTGATATTTTATCCTTGCAGATATTTTTAGTAAATTTTTGTGTCTATAACTTTAACCTATAACCTTTAAATGGAAACCTCTCTAGGTTTAGAAGAGGCCAAATTATTGGCGCTCATATTGCAGGGGAGACATAAATTTATAGAATGCTTGAAATTTCCATAGGTACTGTCTCAAAAGTAATGACTGCTTTTGAAAGAAGAGGGAAAAACGTCCTCAGCAAAGCACAGGTCTGGCCGAAAGTTGCAGTTGTCTGAGAGAGACTGCTGGTACCTAAATCAAATTGTAGTGGACTATCAAAAGACTGAAAATTAAAAAAAATTAAGATGGGTCTGCATTGAGATCTGTGTTAAAATTCCTGCAGACTTCAATGGACACCTGCAGAACCCACTTTCCATAAAGACTGTCTGCCAAGAGCTACACAGACCAGAACTTTGTGGAAGAGCTGCAATAAGAAAACTTCTGGTTTCAAATACAAATGCTTTAAAACATTTAAAGTTTTGTAAAAACCTTCAGTGTAGGTCCATCAATCAGTGGAAAAATGTGATTATCTAACAAATCATTGTTTACTTTATCTCCAACCTCTGGCTGAGTTTATGTTTGTAGACAGAAAAGTCATTTAATCCCAAGCCTCCTCCCAACCAATGAGACATGGTGGGAGAATTGTGATGATCTGGGGTGAAATTTCTTAAAAATTCAGCAGACCACTGATTTCTCTTCATGGAAGCCAGGAAGAATCAACAGCCATGACTATTTAGGAATTTTGGGTTCATACAATGGTTCACGCACCATTTCCAAAGGGGAACACCCTCTTTCAAGATGATAGTTTCTCAATCCATACAGCTGGAATTCTTAAAAAAATGGCACGAGGAACATTCAAATGAAGTTGAGCATATCATTTGACCATCACAATCACCAGACCTGAATTTTATTGAGCATTCATGGTTGATTTTAGATATGCAAGTCAGAAGTCATTTACCGCCACCATCGCCTTTAATAGAGCTGGAGGGAGTTTTAACTGAAGATAGCATTAAAATTCCTTTGGAAAAAATACACAATTTGTATGAAACAATACCTGGGAGAATTAAGGCTGCAATTGCGCAAAAGGCGGACATACAACATCCTAAATTATATTTCATGGATTTCGCAGTATTTCCCTTATTTTATCTAACCCCTGTGGTGCCTTTACATACGATTTGGATATAAAAGATTAAATATACTTTATCAACATGTTAAGGTCAACACAAACCACCTTTTAGGTGGTTTGATGGCCTAGAAATGGCAAAGTCTGCGGATAAAAAGGTTTTCTATAATTCAAAATATACTAGTAAATTTGCATGTTCCAGTGCAAAAAATGAAATTATTCTTTTTTCTTTACATTTAAGGGGAGCATCTTGGTAAAAAAAAACTTTTTTATTTATGGACGGATCACTTCGAAATTTAATACACGTTTGTAAAACGGAATTCTAAGACTTTTTTGCGTGCGAATTTTTAAAAAAAATGACAGAAAATGTGAAATTCTTAGGAAACTGACAAAAAATGGTACTGTAGAAATCTCTGCGGGCCAAGGATTTTTAAGCTACAACATCGAGACACATATCATTCAATGCACAAAGACCATATCTACAAATTGATGCAGGCATTTTTTGAAATTCTTATTTTTGTGGGTGTGGGAGCATTTTTTTGCATGGGCTCTTAACATGTGACTTCAAGTTGAAGAGGCTTGACATATGTCCCTTGATGGTTGTCTCCTTGGGCTGGCACAGAACACACCAGAAAACATGAGGTTGGCGTTCCTATTATCCGTGGACTTGAAGACAAAAAAGTCCTCCAGGTGGGGCCATGGATTCTGAGGCTTGTCATGGCAGGCCTGGCGCTCAACCTCAGCAGCCTCCGCTTCGTGATCCGCAGCCACTGTAGGCTCCTAAACAAGTCTAACATTCTCAGGCTGAACAAAAGCATTTTCATTTTGCATTGCTAAAACTTGTAGAATGATAACGTTCATGATAACATACCTTGTTGTCTGACACTGTAACGTTTATGATAACGTACCTTGTTGTCTGACACTGTAAGACTAACGTGTTGCGTGAGTCCCGTCTAAAGTGAACTGAACTGCAGAATTACACAATGCTATATTAGCCAATCACATCTTGTGTTACTACATCATGTAGCATAGTAGCAGTAACACAAGACGTGATTGGCTGACGAACATATGATGACGTAGTCAGCTGTCAGTGTGGGCGTGGCACACGGCTTACAATACTTAGCATTAAATCAGAGATTTTTAAACATTTTTAGCGGACTTCCAGTTAGCGGAACTAAATTTAGCGGAAGCTAATTGGTCCGCTAAAGGTTTTCAAAGTTAGCTGAACAGCTAATCCAATAAGGAAAAAGTTAGCTTTGCTAATTAGCGGTTAGCGAATTAGCGGAACTGTGCCCACCACTGGTTATGATGAGAAAATTAGTAATTATTAAAACTTAGAAAGAAGTTGGTTTCTATTACCTATATCTTCACTAAACCAATAACTCTATTGAGAAAATTAGAATTGCTCTGTAGTAGGTATATATTTTGAGTGTAGACAGTCCAAAGAAAGGGTAAAAATAACTGGGTGATAAGTGATGAACAGAAAATGAATAAAATCTTGTACACTCACTGATTTCTACAAGACGAATTTAAAAATAGTAGTAATATTAATGAAATCCATACATTATAACTAGATTAAACAAAAATATGTGCATTCAATAAAATAATCACTTACCTAGACTTTTTGGAAGCAGATGCAGAAGCTCCTGAGCCAAATTGTTTTCTCTTCTCCATTTGGTTTACAAAATTCAGGTTTGATTTATTCTGAAACTAAAGCAAGAAAAAAAGAGAGATGAGGAAAAGATATGCCAGAAATTTTCCTTTCAGTTTATGTATTCAGTTTAAATATAATACGTCTACCAAGTTTTCAAAGAGTGCTCACTAGCTAAATGTTGAAAGCTTTTAAAAAAATGTTGAAAGCATTTTAAAGCTTATGATTAACTGGCTAGGCTGCTTGATTGGTCTCAAATTTGCTAGGCTGCTTGATTGGTCTCAAATTTGCCAGGCTGCCAGCTAAGACATAGAGAAGATGAATGGCATATTGAATTAAGAGGAGCGTCTGGGTCCAAAATCTATAATTTTGGCTTTCCGGTTTTAGTCTCATCTTAAAGCTGACACTCTGACCTATCCAAAGGTACCAAAACCATCTCTGTACGTTGATTTATGTGTTCACTACAGATTCCGCAAGGGAGGGAGATGGGAAAGTTCTTTCACATTTAACATCGGGATTATTCCCATATTGCACTATATATAGCTAGTCAGCCTAGTCTACAGACACTCAGCTCCAGTAACCTTGCGGCAGTCAGACGGGGTGGTTCCCAAAAAGTCGCTCTCACCATCCATGAGGACCATGACAGAAATTGAGCTCCAGTATTATCTAGTAGCATTCCTTGCAGTTTTGAATGCCAATTTCAAGGGACCCGAGACTTTGTTGGGCTCTACTAACCCCATCAGGGCTGCCATTAGGTAGTCACATTTCCCTCATTATGGGGCAGCGCCCCCCATTTGCAAACTATGACACTTTCCTCAAGTTTGA